GGGGGGGGGCCTGTGATGAGTCCTCTGGACCCTAGTAGTCCCCCTGACAACCGGCAGGGGGCCCCCTCAACCCCCTCACTTGGACTTGTGGGGCTCACCCTGCAGAGGCCAGGGAAGAGGCAGACGAGGCGGTGGAGAGCTTGCCGTCGGGCACCACCGGGAGCTGCACCGGCTCCGGGATCCGCGGTGGCCTCCTGGCGGCGGAGGGGAGGGGTGCCGTCAGGGGAGCCGGGAAGGCTTCCGGGGCGAGCGGGGGTCGGGTGCGGGGAGGAGGAGGAGGCAGCTGGCGGAGGAGGAAGTTTGAGGATGGCGAGGCCTCACCCCAGGGTGGCGGAGGCGGGCGTCGCAGGCGCCTTGATGCTCTTTCGAGAGAGGGTCCCCGTCCGCGACAGCTGCGTGCTCAGATCCTGCGGGGGGGAGGGGGGGGAGGAGGAAGCAGGGGACAGAGCTGACGTCTATGGGAACCCCTCCCCAGTACCCTCCCTGGTCCCAGAAAGGAAATGAGGGAGAGGCACCGAGAACTGGGAGGGAGAGCGCCTTCACAGCAAGTTCCCACTTCCACTTCCCAGCCCCCTCTCCCACCCCCCCCACCCCCGCCCCCCACGCCCCATTCGCTGTTGCCTGGGCCCCAGGCCTCTAGTCGGGGCCGCAGGCCCGACGGAAGCCTGAGCAGACGCGGTCTGACGGCCACTTCCTCCAACCAGCTTAGCATCCGCACCTCGCACCTCGCTCCCCAAAGCGTCTCCGTGGCCAGCTTGGTGGTCTCTAATTCTGATAGATCCTAACCCGGCAGGCGGGCGCGCGGGGCTCAGGAGGTGGGGTGGGGGCGGAGGGGACCATCACACTTAGCAGTGTCCCACCCGTCATTTGGATGGGCCCGCAGAGCTGGCTTTGGGCGGCTCAGGACAGAGAGGGGCAGGGCGTTTAAAGTGCACACAGGGCAAGGGCGAGCCCACACGTTACTGGTGGGGTGTCGCCAAGTCCGCGGACCTGGGGAACGCTGCCCTCTGCTGTACGCCGCGAGGCACGAGACAAAAAGGACCCGAGCTGAGGGGCAAAGAAAGAATCGAAGCTGGACAATGAGGAGAACTCACCGGTGGGGAGGCCTGGTGGCTGGAGGAGGGAGTGCCGTCTCCCCTTTTTGGGGGAGACGGGCCGTTAAGGGTGTTAAGAGGTCCTTTAGATCCAGGGGAGCCTTAAGCTAGCCTGGCATGTTGACGAAATAGACCGTGTGTGTTCTCCCCCCTCTCAGGAGATGAGCCGAGCAGAAAATGTCAGTGGCCGTGCTCCCCTGGCTTCACAGGTCCCCTCTGAGTGGCCGCATGCATCCCCGCCCCTTCCCACCCCCACAGCAGCCCCCCGGGTGAGTGCTCGGCGGTGACCTCAAACCTCCAGACAGAGGAAGTTGCTGTTCTCTGTGTGTGGCTGGGGAACGATTCTCATGCTCGCCCCTGACATCCTCCCTTCCCCCTCTTCCCCTTCACACCCACCCAGCCCCCACGGAAGGGGGTTGCTCAGACCCCACCTTCAGCAGACCATCTGGGGACAGGGTTAAAGGCCGGCCATGGAGGGAGGGGCTGGGAAGGAGCGGGGGGGGGGCTCGGAGAGTAGGGGTCCATCTAAGGTGATGGCTTCAGAGAGTGAGGGGAAGAAAGGGCTGCGGGTTGGGGCAAGAACATGGTCGTGGAAGAGAACTGGGGGCCCGGGGAGAAGGGAGACACGGAAGAGGAGAGGGTGGGTTGTGGGGACGAGGAGGGGCCCTCGCTCTACCTTGATCCCATGGCCAATGTCATCCAGGCAGCCAAAGTTGAGAGGTCTCCGGTAGTAGGGCGTGAGGGGAGGGAGGCTGTCGGGGGCGATGACTTTCTGGCCAGGGGGCAGCCGCTGGACAGTGGCTAACGTGCCGATCTCCCTTCGGGCCACCTTCTCCATATGCATACTCACCATCTGCCACGACAGGGGTTGAGGTGACAGAGCGGGGAGGTGGCCTCTGCCCCAGTGCCCTTCCTCTTAAGGGAGGAGGAGGATAGAGACTTGGGGTGGGGGTGGGGACCATGGGAGGCCGAGAGATCCAGAGAATGAGTACATTTTCTCCCCACCCAGGCCACGCAGCATTTGGGAAAAGAGTTGCCAGGGGAGGAAGGAGCCACTTCGGAGAGACTTCCTGCTGGAAGAGCATGAAGGTTATTATTAGCTGGAGCAGGATCCAGCGGAAAAGAGAAAACCCGGCCTCCCTGCAGATGCTGGGAAGAGACCGGAGCCCCGGGTTGGCTCGGTAGCAGAGGTGGACGGTGTGGACCATGTGGAGGGGGCGGAGAATCGAGGCTGTATCAGCTGACTCTCTTGGGGGGACGGATAAGTGAATTCGCTTCCTCTTGGAACGTTCTGTGGGGCAACTCACAGCATCCAGAGGGTGGGAACTCTGGTCCGCGGTGGGGGGGGGGGGGGAGGAAAAGACACACCCCGCCGTGAACACGTGGGTGATGGGCCAGCCAGGCTGATGTGCGAGCGGATCTGAGCGTGTTGTTGATGGGGCAATTCCTCCGCCAGGGATCCAGGAAGGAAGGAGGAGGGTGAGTGTGCTAGATGGGCGGGGGGCCACCGTCTCGTGGTGGCATTGTCTTCAGGGCCGAAGACGGCCTTGCCCAGCAAACACTTCGGGTCTACGACAGCTTAGCCCGTTACCACCCCGGGGTTGAGATGCAAACAAGGCCCCTCTTCCTCTTTCTTGTCCTGTACGGCCAACCGGGGTTGGTCAGGCCTGCTGCCTACGGCGCCGGCGAAGAGTTCAGAGCAGGAAAAAAGCTCTGCCTTCAAGGAGTTCCTAGTCTGGGAGGGCAGCAAGGCCCAGCACGGAGACATAACCAGAGAGGAGGAGGCTCAAAATGCTTGCGAAGCGCCAGGCTTCTGTGGTGGAGGCAGGCATTTGGAGGAAGGCGAGAAAGAGCATTCGCCGGAGGAAGTGGCCGAGCAGGGGGCGCTGCAGAATGGGGGGCCGGTGCAAGAGGCCCTCCCACACGCCCCTTACCTGGCCCAGCGTGTTCACACGGGCTTCGACCTGCCGCAGGGAGGCCGCCTGTAGGTCCAGCATCCGTAGAGTGTGTCCGGCCAGGTTGCCTACTTGATAGGCCACACTGGCCAGAGCCTGGGTGGTGAAGGCCATGGTCTCCTCCAGCGCCCTCCGCTTGTCTGTGGCCTGAAACACACACGGCCCTGGTCTGAAGCCAGCCCAAGGATTCCGCTGGATCCTTGGCTGGGCGGGTAGGGTGGGAGAGGGTGGAGGGAATGTGGGGGCTGAACTTTCTTTCTTTTTGAAAGAGAGAGAGAGACAGAATGTGAGAGACGGGGAGGGGCAGAGAGAGAGGGAGACACAGAATCCGAAGCAGGCTCCAGGTTCCGAGCTGTCAGCCCAGAGCCCGACGCGGGGCTCGAACCCACAAACCTGAGCCGAAGTGGGAAGCTTAACCGACTGAGCCACCCGGGTGCCCCAATCCCAGCCCTTCTAACCAGAAGCCCTGGAAATGCGGCCAATGAGTCTGTGCCTTTAAAAGCTCCCCAGGTGACTCTCGGGTTTCTTGTCTTTCTCCAGTCCGCCGGGTGGTGTTTGGGAACCAATGACCTAGTCCATTTTATAGACAAGGAAACTGAAGCCCAGAGACGAGTGACTTCATTCATTCATTCCCTCAGCGTATTGGGAACAATACACTGATAATCCGGTAAATCCAGACTTCCAACCATGGCCTATATAGGGCCCCACAGGGTGGGCTCTGCTTTTCTGTCCCCCCTCATCCCTTGCCACCCCTTCTCACGCACCCCCCCCCTCCATGCACATTGGCCATTAGGTTCCTGTTCCTGATCAAGCTAAGATTGTTTCTACCTCAGGGCCTTTGCACTTACTGTACTTATTTCCAGGACCCTTATTGTTAAGTCTCAGCTCCTTAGAGACATATTTTGTTACCACCTTAAGATTCTCCTAGCCTATTTCTGTATTGGCTCTCTTCCGTGTTTCTCCTGTAGCCTTGTCCTCATAGCACCTAGCACTGTCAGAAATGATTGATCTATTTACTTTATTACCTAGCTCCCCCTCCCATCCGCCCTCCCATATACTAACACGTAAGCACGGTGAAGGCAGAGAGCCTGTCTGTTTTATTCTGTGCCCTACCCCGGAACAGTGCCCAACACACAGACGAGATTTAATAAATACGCGTTTGTGAGTTAAGTAATGAATTGACTGTGACCCCAAACACTTTCTGGGCATCTCCTTAGCGCATGGCAGGCGCTGTGCCAGGTGCTGGCCGGAGTCACACTGCCAGTCAGCCGTGGAACGGTGGGCAGGGAATGGCTGAAGACAGAAGAGGGTTTTGCTTGTTTGTTTGTTTGGTCTTGCTTGTTTTGTTTTGTTTTCAGTGCCCCGTCAGACCACGGGGGGCTGGAGCAAAACTTCTCTGTTATTTGGTTCCCCACGCAGCTTCCTCATCTCAGGTCAGATCATGACACTGCTGTGATTTAGCCTGTCCCCCTCTCTAGGGGGTAGGGGTGAGTCCAGGGCAAGTCTGGGCCAGGCCCGAGCACTGACGGACAAGGCCGCACCATGCTGCCCCCTTGCTAAAGGCCCTTGTGTGCTCCTCAGGGCCCGTCGGCGGAGAGAAGGCGTAGAACCCATTAGAGCAGGACGCCTCCAGGGTGGCCTGAGCCAGGCTGGAGTCAAAGGGCAGGCCCAGATCCTTGTGGGCGGCCCTTCCCTGCCTTTCTGTTCCAGCCGCTAGATACTCATTTGCCCGGAGTTTATACCTCATCAGCGTATGTAACCAAGAGCCTTGAAAAGGCGAAGAAATCAACCTGAAATCAACCTGGGGTGTTTAAACCAGAACAGATAGCAGGTCTAGTTTCTAGTTCAAGACCTTTCTTTAACAGGTGGGGGGGACACAAAGGCCCAGAACAGGGCAATGACGACTCCTCCTTGGTCCCCACCCAGATTCCTCCCCCCAGGTCCCCTGCTAGGACCGATGTGTGGACCGGTTAGCCCAGATAGCACAGTGCCTGCTTGGGCCCAGCTCTGGGAGGCTGGGGCCTGGATACCTGCTGACCCCTGGTTTGGGCTTGGCCCACAGTCGGGCCTGGAGGTACGAGGGTGTGAGATCCACCTTCATGGCCCGCTGCTCATTCATGATGCAAATTACTTTGTCTGTAAACTCAGTGGACTCTGACCGAGAACTCTGCAGTTGACCCCAGCCTGCCCTCCCCCATTCCCCACGGGTTTCCTGACACCTGGTTGGGGCCTTGGGGCTGAGGGAGGGGGCGGTGGGGAGGCCCGAGGGCATGGGAACCAGGCCTGGTTTAAGAGCAGTTCTGAGGGGCGCCTGGGTGGCTCAGTCGGTGGAGCGTCCGACTTCAGCTCAGGCCACAATCTCACGGTCCATGAGTTCGAGCCCCGCGTCAGGCTCTGGGCTGATGGCTCAGAGCCTGGAGCCTGTTTCCGATTCTGTGTCTCCCTCTCTCTCTGCCCCTCCCCCGTTCATGCTCTGTCTCAAAAATAAATAAATGTTGAAAAAAAATTAAAAAAAAAAAAAAAAGAGCAGCTCTGAGAAGTTGCCCAAGCCCCTCATAGGCATTTGCTCCCCAGACCCAGATGCTCAAAGAGGCTGGGTAAGGTAACCGAGGTCCATTAGTTAGTGTTCTGCGTGAAGGAAGCAGGGGTCCGGGAACTCTGACCTGGGTCAGGGCTCTCGATGCCCTCGGTATTTTTACAAGGGCCGCTTCACCTCGCCCGAATTGACTTTCATTATCTGCCTGTGCCTTTCATCGTTCCGATGAATGATGATGATGGCGGTGGTGATGACAGCAATGGTAATCGTTTCCATTTATCCCCCCACCTCCGTCCCCACTAAGGGCCAGGTGCCGGGCTACCTGCTTTGACCATGATCACAACTGAACCCGTGTGACCTTCCCGAAGAAAGGTGTGAGAATCAGAGGGTATCTTGCCACGGGTCTCGCCGCTGGTAGGCAGCGGAGTTAGAAATCGGACTCAGGTCGGGGCGCCTGGGTGGCTCAGGGGGTTAAGCGCCCAACTTCAGCTCAGGGCATGATCTCGCGGTTGGTGAGTTCGAGCCCCGCGTCGGGCTCTGTGCTGACGGCTCAGAGCCTGGAGCCTGCTTCAGAGTCTGTGTCTCCCTCGCTCTCTGCCCCTCCCCCCACTCATGCTCTGTGTCTCTCTGTCTCTCAAAAATGAATAAACACTAAAAAAAAAAAAAAAGAAAAAAAAATCGGACTCGGGTCTCGGTGATCCTTAAATCCCCTGTGCGCATGGTGAATAGAAGCGAGAACCCATCTGAAAGGGCCTGGGGGTGCACAGAGGCTACTGAAGGAACGGACAGAACTCTTTGTGCCCTCGTCCAGAAGAGAATGCCCTCCAGCACCACGAGAACCCGGCTGCCTTCCGAGCCACACGGTCCGTGTCCTCCACAAACGGGTCACTCAACATCTCCGCAAACCGATTATTTCTCAGGGCCGCACATTCACCTAGAGGTTTGGGGAGGGGCTCTGGAGTCAGAGTTCTGGGTTCGCCTCCGGATTCGGCCACCGGCTTGGAGACCTCGGGAGAGCGAGCTCGGCTTTCTGAGGCTCAGCCTCCTGGCTGTAAAGTGACAGCCCCTCTCCCCTCTCAGGACGGGGGGGGGGGGGGCGCCCACAGAGGCCATGCGGGCCACATGCTCTGTCACATCCGAGCTGGGTGACCCTGGACAAATCACCTTGCCTCCCTGAGCTGCTGGCTCTTCACCTACGAAAGAGGAATAACGCTACTTGTCTCATAAGGTGCTTACGAGCATTAATGAAAACACAGAGGTGCTCAGTCATTGCCAAGTTTCCCTCGCCCCTCTTCCCTCGATCCACGAACCTACGTGGAGGGTCTCGGAACAACTATGCAATGTAGGGGACTGTTCTAAAACGCCGCGATGGTCGTCTTTTGCCGGGAGACGGCTCCCAGCCATCACGTTGTCCTTCCCCTGCCTCTGCGTCAGACCCCGTCTCTTTAACCCAGCCTGGTCTTGAGGTCTGTCTCCTCTCACTCAGATATCAGGGAGAGGCTTCTCTCCCCCGTCTCTCTCAAGTTCACTGTTTGGAGAGTTCTGAGGTCTCACCTGGAGACAGCCTGCGAACGGAAGGACAATGACAGCATTTGCATGTGGACGAGGCTTTGGGCCTGTGGGTGCGAGCGGGACCCAGGAAGGAGACGAGTGGCCTGTCCCGGGGCGTCTCTGAGGCTCCCGGAGAGAGGAGGGACCTGGAGGGTGTGGGGGTGGGCGCGGGCTGGGTAGCACAGCACCAGGGCTGAAGTTTCGGGGGGCCTGGAAAGAAGCCGGGGCCTGGGGTGGAGTATTTCCCAGCCGGGGCCCAGGACGCGCCAGCACCTGTCAGAATGGCTCCCGTGGTCCTGCCTTGGAGGTGGGCTCCGGGCCCCTCGGGGCCTGTGCCCCGTCTGCCTACCTGCACATAGTTGTCCACGCAGTAATCGGCGACACGCAGCAGGGCGCTGTGGTTGCCCCGCAGGGCCTCCCGGCCCGTGGGGATCTCAAGTTCCTGCAGTTGCTGTAGCTCGGCCATGGCCCCCCAGCCTCTGGCTGGCTCCCCTGGGAGCCGGCCGGTTTTGCGCCTCACCCTGTCCTTGATTGGTCGCTCTCCCTTCCCCCCCCCCCCCCAACCGCTTTTGGTTTCCTCTGCGTGAGAGACCCAAACCTGCTTGCAAAGGGCAGGCGGGCTCATTCCGGGACAAGAGGAAGTGAGTCCCTGTTCCCTGGGCCTGAGACTCTCTGCCCCCTGCCCAGAGGAAGGCGGAAGCCAGGGGCCCCTCTGGGAGCCCAGCCCCCCAATCCCTCCCAGCAGAGGAAGCCAAGGTCGGGGCGCTGTGATTGCTCCCTGGGCCTGGAGAGGAAACTGCTAGGCGGGTGGGGGGTGGGGGTGGGGTGGGAGACGGAGGAGGAAGGGGGCTGGCCTGCTCTGGGGGGATTGGGGAGTGGAGGTGGATTTTCCACTCATGGAAGGGGAGGAAAGGGCAGAGGGTGGGGGTTTCCTTGGGAAGCTCAGGGATGAGTCACCAAGGGCCTGGGGAGTGGAGGGTGGTGAGGCTATGGAGACCAGTCGTGCTGGGGGCCGTAGGGTGTTGAGCAACAGTGGAACACAGCCAGCACGAGAGGAGTCGGCTCCGACACCGGGAAGACCCAGCCAGAGGCCCCCTGAGAAGCGTTCCCAAGCCTCTGAAGGCTTATGTGTGAGGGAGACCTGGGGCCCATGCCCTGTGCCTGATGGAGGTAAGACAAGATGACGCGGGAGAGACTCCGATTAGACAACAGGAAGGAGTTGGCTTTGAGAAGCACCAGGTGTAAGGTCCAGATTAGCCGGTGGATTTCAGGAAGCATCGGCGGACAGAGCAGCGAGCTGGTCTCAAGAGGTGCGTGCTTTCCATCCTGCGTGAACAGGGCGGTTGGACTGGAGGCCTGCAGGGCCCTGGCCTGCCCTTAAATTCTTAGCGCTCGCAGCTGGGGGTGGGGCTCGGCGTCTGGAGCCGGGGTGGGGGGAGTCAGGGTGGACTCCAGCCTCCTCCCGGCCCCTTCCAGCGCCCCTTGTGTCAACCCAGAGGGAGGAGAAGAAAAGGATCCCTTACTGGCCATATTGGTGTCTCCGGCATCTGCTTCTCGACAGGGTCCCTTTGTCGTGGGACAGGTGTCGGCCTGAGCCAGAGCTCAGGATCTACGAAACAGCATAGCCCTTAGGTGGTTCTGGAAGGAAGCTGAGAGAAATATCAGGATGTGGGGCCCCGTGCTCAGCGATTGGAGAGGGAGACCCGCACTCAGGGCTCAGAGGGACACGTGAAGGCCAAGAAGCACGGACCCGGGCGTTAGAGGTGGCCGTGGCCCCAAGTGCTGGCAGGCACAGCCTCCTAAGTGAGGAGTCTGTTGTTTTCAGTAAGCAAAGGAAGGACTGGACGAGCTGGGAGGAACTTGTGAGGTGTCATCGCAGGGCTCCAGGGGGAGACACCACCGTTTCTTGGGAGAGGGACGTTAGGAGCTGGTCTAGGACTTGCTTCACCGGGAGGAAAAGGCTCAGAGGAGGCTCAGAGGGAGGGGAGGGGAGGGCTTGGGAGAGAAGGCATGGGGAGGGGAGTGTGTCGGGCCGGAGGGTGAGGACTGGCTGTAAGCCAGGAGGGTCACTAAGGGAGCAGGGAGGGTGCACGGGGCAGGGTATCTGCTCCAGGGGCAGTGAGGGCTTGGAGGCTCAGGCCAGTGGATGGGCTTAGAACCCTGAGCCCCTGATCAGCTTAGGCATCAGAGGTTTTGGCTTCCAGACCATCTGCTTTATCTGAAGACTTCCAGCCGATAAGCGGGGGAAGCTCAAACACCGTCTTGTCTGAGTCGGGGACTTGAAGTCCACATTCTTTCCCGGCAGGTGAGAGGGGCTGAGGTTGCGCTGGGCTGGGCTTTAGTCTTAGAATTATTCAAGTGAGGCGCCTGGCAGGCCTTCCCGATGACCCTGTCGTGATGGTGCCGATTGCAGCCAACTCTCGTCATCACATAATAAATGCGTTTATGATTCGTTATGCGCCAGCCAGAGCGTTAAAAATATTCGAGATGCGTTTGTTTTCCTAGGACTCGCAAAAATCATACAAGGAGGGGGGGTACCATCATCATACCCATTTTGCAGATGGAGAGGGGGTGGGAGGGAGTCTGGGGTGTGAATACGCAGGGCCTGAGGTGAGGGGCAGGGCAGGGCAGGGAAGAGGGCTCACGGGGACTGCGATCCCAGCTGCGAAATCTTTTCCGGGACCCAGGTGTCCCGGGGGGCAGGATGGCCCAGGAGCTCAGCGAGAAGGACCTGTTGAAGATGAACGTTGAACAGCTCAAGAAAGAAGTGAAGAATACAAGAGTTCCGGTAAGCCTCGTCTTCCCTCCCCTGCCCCGCTTCTCTTCTCTACCACAGCCCGGTCCTTCCGGAGCCGGGACCCCAGGAAGAAGGGACAGACGGTGGGGTGGATGGTGCAGGAGAGAAAGCACGCAGAGAGAGGCTGGGGGTCCGCCCCATGGAGGTGGCCAGGAGCGAGGCCCGTGGCCGGGGGGGGCTCCCCCCCTCCGGCGCGCGCCCCCCGGGGGCGAAAACACCCCCCCCCCCCCCCCCCCCCAGCCCCTGCCTGTCCCTTTGGTCTTTTTCCTCTGCAGCCTCTGTGCCCACCCTGCCCAGGACCTGTTTTCTTGGACCGAGCGAATCATGGATCCCGACAGACAAACAAGGGCTCTAGGGCCACGCTTTGTTTCCTCACAGATTTCCAAGACGGGAAAGGAAATCAAGGATTTTGTGGAGGCCGAAGCAGGAAATGACCCTCTTCTCAAAGGCGTCCCCGAGGACAAGAATCCCTTCAAGGAGAAAGGCGGTTGTGTGATAAGCTGACGGCCCTGGGGCCCCCTTGCCCTGAACGTCCGTCCCTCCTCAGCCCCACTCTCCACCAGGACGCGAGTGTCCCCGGATGCCCAGGGAGCCAGGCAGTTTTCACCGTCTCTGGGCCACAGCATGAGTAAAGACACCTGGCCGTGCACTTGGGGGTCCGTTCCCCAACCCCTTCGACTCTCCCCTCCTCCACCTGCTGGGTCACTGCTGGTCCCACCTGGAGACCCTCTGAGGAGAGCCTCCTTGGCTCAGCAGCTGGCACCTTGTGCGGTGGGGGTCTGAAAAGCGTGCGACACCCTGAGACCTGAGATGGGAATCCTTAGAGACATCTGGGCCACCACAGGGCCGTCCTGTCTTCCCCCTCCACTGTCTTCCGCAAACCGGCATTCCTATTCAGAGTAGTTTGGGTTGAGGGCCGGAGTAGGGGGTGGGGGGGGGGGGTCCTTCTTCTCCGTTGTGTGTCCGATCCCTTGGTCCTCCCCCTAGTCACTTTAGATCACCCCAGAGGGGCCTGAGGACAAAAAGAGCTTGGCAACTCATGATGTCGTGATTTCTTTCGTATTCCCTTTTTTATGTTTATTTATTTATTTATTTATTTTGGAGAGAGAGAGAACAAGCAAGGGAGGGGCAGAGAGACAGAGACAGAGACCCAGACTCCGAAGCAGGCTCCGAGCTGTCAGCCCAGAGCCCGATGCGGGGCTCGAACTCACGAACCTGTGAGATCACGGCCGGAGCGCAAGGTCGAACACTTAACCGACTGAGCCACCCAGGCGCCCCTGTAGTTGAGATTCTTGAGTGTCTCTTCCGTGCTGGGCACGAGGGGGGAAGAATGGCGACGCTCACGTGGCTCCTATTTTCATGGAGTTTAGCGGAGAAGGTGTGCAGTTAGGTGCAACTGAGCGGGGAGGGGACGTCAAGGGCGGTGTAGGGAGGAGCACAGCGCAGACACTCAGGCCTGTGGGCAAGGTCAGCGTGAACTGTTGCGGGCCGGTGGGCAGCGGGGCGGAACTGGGCAGACAGAGGCCCAAGAGGGAGAAGGGGGTCAAGGCTTCAAGAACCTTCTGCGCGCGCAGTCAGGAACTTTGTTCTTCACTCTCATTGCGGCAGAAGGCCTACGAAGGCATTAAGCAGCCAAGGGACAGGAACTGACTCGCAGAAGGGAGGCTGGACCCCACGAAGGAGGATGCTGATTCCTGGGCCTTGTTAGCAAGGAGATTACGGTCTTAGGGAGCCACAGGCGGACTCACGTGATACAGGGCGCTCAGTGCAACGTGTGGGGGCAGCGGGGGGGATGGATGAGGGGACCCAGAGGAGGACAGCCTAATCCAGCTGGATGAGTGAATTGCATCCTGGGAGGGAAAACAGGGAAAGGCCTCTAGAAGGAGGTGATAGCCTCATGATGTCATGGTTTATCTCATATTCTTTTTTTTTGTGTGTCTATTTATTTATTTTGAAGAGAGAGAACAAGCAAGGGAGGGGCAGAGAGAGAGAGAGAGACACACAGAGACAGAGACAGAGAATCCGAAGGAGGGTCCAGCGGGGAACAAGAGAGGGGCCTAGAGCTTTGGAGTTCACAGCTAGAGATGTGGGCTTGGAGGTGAGCAGAGGGGTCTTGGTGTAACCCACCTTCGTCTGCCGGGTGCGGGTTGGCGGGTGTTTGCAGTTAGAAGAAAACTGGGGGGCGCCTGGGGGGCGCAGTCGGTTAAGCGTCCGGCTTCAGCCAGGTCACGATCTCGCGGTCCGTGAGTTCGAGCCCCGCGTCGGGCTCTGGGCTGATGGCTCAGAGCCTGGAGCCTGTTTCCGATTCTGTGTCTCCCTCTCTCTCTGCCCCTCCCCCGTTCATGCTCTGTCTCTCTCTGTCCCAAAAATAAATAAATGTTGAAAAAAAAAAAAGAAAGAAAGAAAGAAAGAAAGAAAACTGGTGTTTGGCAAGATTGAAGGCGGGAAAGCACGGAGACAGAGAGACAATGAAGGAGATGATCACTGGATCCGGGGCGTTGGCCGTCGTAGGTCTAGAGCGGGGAGATGGGGGTGAGGAGTTCTTTGGGTAAAATAAGGTTTTCAGGTCCTGACACCTCGCTGAGTGGCGGCCGAAGGAGAGGGCGCTGTCGAGGAGGACGAGTTCCTGGCTTGGGAGACGACCAGATATGACCGAACGGTCACCCACGGGGAAAACAAACCCAGCGTAACACAGTGATCCCGCTGGGGCTGCCCGCTCTCTTAGCACCCAGGGCCTGCTGGTGAGGTCATGGCCGCTGGTCAGAATCCAGGACCTCCTGGGAAGGGTCCACTGCTTTCCCCAGGCCATCCTGAAAATTCCCTCCCGACCCCACCTCGCCATTCTGCGATTCAGCCTCGAATAAATTCAGCCACTCGCAACACACCCGGCCTGGGAGAAGGAAAAGAGGGACGAGAAAGGGCAAAGACGTAAATACGAGAATTCTTTTTTTTTTTTTTTAGGGGGGGGGGGGGAGGGTGAACACTCCAGAAGGTTCTAGCGGTAGGAAAGGAAAAGCAGGTGGGGGCTACGGCGATAGGGCCACAGGCCCCGTGGCTGTGGCTTCCTTCTTCCACCCGCCCAGTCCTTGCTCTGCTACCTCCAGGCGGAATCTCACTGATTGGCGCCTTCGGTCGAGGGGTGACTCTAACCGTTATTCCTGGGGCGTTTGAACCCTGGACGGGGCTCTGCACAAAGCAGCAGCTTCTTTTGCGCACCTGCTCTCAGGGCACACTGCCCAGGTGCCCCGGGTGTGCTCTTGGCTCCTCTCACACCCGTCCCGTCCACCCTGAGGTGTGGGAGCAACGAGAAGATCCCTAAGCCATCCACTCCGAGCCCCGCTTCCGTCTGTTTTCCGGATGCCACGAGGGGCCTCAAAGGGCCGAGGAGTTATCAGCGTCAAAGGAATTATTAGTTGGTGCCCTGGTGGCCGCATTCCTTCCCCGCATGCCCAAACCTTCACGAGGTCAGCGATGAGCATGATGATGAGCTGGGGGGGGGGGGGGGGGGGGGGGCCTGGGTGTCATCTAAGCCCCCCCGTCCCCGCCTCAGTCCCGTAGATCCGGGGGTTTCACACCCATGAGAGAAAAGCCCCGTGCGTCGTGACTGGTTCACTTCAGAGCGCAAGCAGCCGTCTTGTGACGGCACCTCGTCTTTGCCAAGTGTCTCCCAGCTGGCACCAAGCCCGGGCTTCGCCGGACCCCTCCTTCGCTTTATAAAGCCGGCAGGGTCCAGAGGACGGACAGACGGACACACGGTGAGATCAGCAAATCCTGAGAGCATTCGCTCCTTGCCTGAGATTTACAGAACACTTGCACGGATGGTACAGAAGGTTCCCGTGTCCCCCTCCCCCAGCTCCGCCTGATGTTAGCATCTTCCAGAGCCACGGCACGTGCAACACAGCCTCTGTTCCTGCCTCTCTGGCTGCTTTGTTTCATGAGCCCCCGTCGGCCCAGGGGTCCCCCCGTCTGTGGGGTTATAAAGAGCGTTGATTGCTCCCCAGGAATCAGAGAGGAAGGAGTTTCCTTTCCCTGCTGATTTTTGGGCCACTCTGAGAAGGGCAGTTCCCAGAGAAAGGGGAACCACGGGGATCCAGGTACGCAGACCTGCTCAGGACCTGAACTGGGGGATCGGAGTAAGAACGGAGCGGAGGTGATGAATTGGAATGATACTCGGGAGGTAACGTTTTCAGGGCTTGGAGGTCGCTCGACTCCCAGCAGGACGGCCAGGTAACTTTCACGGACGACCTCAAGTTTCTTTCTGGGATGACTGAGCGAGCGAATGGTGGTGTCACCAGTGGGAACGCCCTTCTCACCAAATGATTCTAGGTGATTCCCCTCGGCTTCTCCTCCCTCCCCTCGTACCCTGTTGAGAACCACTGGGAGGTGGTGGCTGATTCTATGGAAAGAGGAGGTGAGTCCGTGCGGGATGGCTGCGTGGGGCAGGATGGGAAGAGGCCAACGATGGAGCTTGGAGAACATCAGCGACTCAGGAGAAGGAAGGGCCATGAAAAGGACCAAGGTGCGAGGAGGCCAAGCACAGAGCGGGCCACTGAAGTTCGGATGACCCTGAGCAGTAAAATGACACCAAGTCAGGAAAAGGGAGGCAGAGAGGGACTCGGACTCCTGATTTCCTGGTCAACGAATGTCAAGCTGAAGAATTCTTAAATTCTCTGTCTTCTTCCTTCCATAGTCCACGTTCACCAGAGACTCCCAGGGTGGGATCCCCAGGTCTTAGAAGCAGGGGGGGTGGGGTGGGGAGCAGAGTTTAACATAGGGTTCAAAATAGCACCCTCACCGTCCTCCTCCCTGTCCTCCTCCTCCTCCACCATCTCTGAGGTTAGAAGCTGGGGGAAGGGAGGCGACTCTGAAGTCGTTTCTCAACATCCTCTGGGCCCCTCTGGCTTTCCTATTCCCTGGTTGGATTTCACTGACCTTTGTGTCCACATTTACTCCCCGGCCTGTTCCTTTTCATGTCACACTCTCCTCCTCAGTGTCTCCACTCAGCTTTCAAGCACCCTGAGGGCAGAAGTCAAGTCTTTGCCTTTTGTATTCCCGGCACCCTGAACATCGTAGGCACACAACAATGGGTGTTAAATGACCGCGTGTGGGGCGCCTGGGTGGCGCAGTCGGTTAAGCGTCCGACTTCAGCCAGGTCACGATCTCGCGGTCCGTGAGTTCGAGCCCCGCGTCAGGCTCTGGGCTGATGGCTCGGAGCCTGGAGCCTGTTTCCGATTCTGTGTCTCCCTCTCTCTCTGCCCCTCCCCCGTTCATGCTCTGTCTCTCTCTGTCCCAAATAAATAAATAAACGTTGAAAAAAAAAAATTAAAAAAAAAAAAAATGACCGCGTGTGTCCCGGCATTTAGAGACTTTCTAGGGGCCAGGCATTGTGAGAAGTGTTGGAGACACATCATGCCATGTGCAAACCAGTAGCCAAAGACGGTAATAAACCGATCGCCCTGGGAATCTAGCACAAGGGGAGGCCAGGCTAGGCACAGGCCTGGCTTCCCTGGTGGCCCTGGTCTCTGCCCGCTCCTGGTCCCTCTGGTCAAGGACAACATACTACAGTCACTACCTTCTGAAAAACGCTGCTTCTGGGGGCCCTTCGTGGGAATAAAATCCTTGCAAAGGGCTCCTCAGACTGTCGGAGGAGAGAGAGGCTCCGAGAAGGAAATGGGGAGAGGCTCTCAGAAAATCTGGAAGGACAGAGGGGGCTGGGGCGGGGTTGGGGAGCTAGTGTTTTACTAAGCGTAGGTTAATAGCCATTAGTGAGTTGTGAAATCAACTTAGCAGGTGGAGACCCGCTTTTAGAAACCTTCCCACACCTCCAGGTGACAAAGACCTTCGAACGCGCCCGGGAGACTACCACGCATGAGAAGCTCAGAATTTCTCAAGCCTGTTCCGTGGATGAACAGCTCAAATTGTTAGAAACTTCTTCCTCTTGTCCCTCTAACTTCCACCCACACGTTCTCGTTCTCCGCCTCTATTGCTACCCTCCAAGTTTTGTTTTCCTCCCCATATAAGCCTGTGTTCTTTGCTCAAGGATCTGAGCTTCCGGAATCCTCACTATTCTGACAGTCTTTCTAGCAGTTACTATTATAGAGCCTGTCTTGGCTCAGAAGCAGAGAAGAGGGCTTTTGCTTACTATTTTGCTAGTTCTTGCCACACTGCGATGCAAAAGGCACCGTTGTCCCTTTTCCTTTACAAGTGAGGCTCCCAATCTTTTTTCGACATGTAATCGACATCTATGATTGTATACGTTTAAGGTGTACGACATCATGATTTGTTATCATTATGGATTGTGAGATGGCTACCTCAGTAAGCTTCATTAACACATCCATCACCTCACAGAGTTACAACTTCAGAGGATTTGAAATGCTTACGCAAATGCACTCAGCCAATTAGTGGCAGGGGGAAATTCATCAATGTCTTCATGCAATGCCTAGAATTGAACCTGATCCTCTGAATGCCCTCGGGCTGGCTCAGTGGGGAGGATCGCTCTCGTGACTCCTCAAGCTCCCAGTCTGTGGACAGACTTTGGTATTTTTATTTATTTTTAATTTTTTTTAACGTTTATTTATTATTGAGAGACAGAGAGACAGAGCATGAGCATGGGGTGGGGGGTGGGGGCAGAGAGGAGGAGACGGAATCGGAAGCAGGCTCCAGGCTCTGAGCTGTCAGCCGGCCCAGAGCCCGATGCGGGGCTATCATGACCCAAGCCGAAGTCCGACGCTTAACCGACTGAGCCACCCAGGCGCCCCTGTGGGCAAACTCTTGATCTCAGATTCCCCTCATCCATGACCAGGGCAGAAACACGTCTCTAGATAAGTACTTTTTTGACTTTTTTTTTTTTTTAAGTTTGTTTATTTAGTGTGTGTGAGTGAAAGTGAACAGGGGAGGGGCAGCGAGAGAGGGAGAGAATCCCAAGCAGGTGCCATGCTGTGAGCCCAGATCCCCATGCGGGATTTGAGCTCACGAACCATGAACTCATAACCTGAGCCGAAATCAAGAGTCAGACACTTTAACCTACTGAGCCACCCAGGTACCCCCTTTTTTTTTTTTTGACTTTTTAAATGTCAAAATACAATACACATTCAGAACAATGAATAACTTAATGTGCATTTTAACAGATTTTTGTAGCGAACAGGCCGTGTAACCTCCGCCCGGGACAAGAAATAGAATAATAGCAGTACCAGGGCACCTGGCTGACTCAGCTGGTAGAGCGTGTGACTCTTAATCTTGGGATCATAAATTCAAGCCCCACACCGGGCATAGAGATTACTTAAAATAATAAAATAATAATAATAAAATAATAATAATAATAATAATAATAATAATACCAGTAGCCCCAGAAGACTGTTGCTGGCCCCTTTCCAATCATGGCCCTCTCTCTTCCCCAGGGGTATCCTCACTTATGGGGGAATTTTTGCTTTGCTTAATCATTTTCCCATCTAAGTTTGCAACTCTAAACAATATATGGTAGTTACGTTTTACCTGTTTAGCACCTTTTTTTAATGGAGTCCTACATGACTTATTCTTTTAGATCGGCCTTCTTTCGCTCCATACTTTTTTTTTTTTTTAAAGACTCATCCATTTTGGGGGCGCCTGGGTGGCTCAGTCGGTTGAGCGTCCGACTTCGGCTCAGGTCATGATCTCACGGTCCGTGGGTTCGAGCCCCGCGTCCGGCTCTGTGCTGACAGCTCAGAGCCTGGAGCCTGTTTCAGATTCTGTGTCTCCCTCTTTCTCTGACCCTCCCCTGTTCATGCTCTCTCTCTGTCTCAAAAATAAATAAATGTTAAAATTAAAAAAAAAAAAAAGACTCATCCATTTTGTTGCTGGATAATATTCCATTGTACGGCCTGTCAATTACTTACCCATTCTACTGCCGGACATTTGCGTTCTTTCCAATTTTTCGCTATCATGTTGCCTAAACGCTCTTATACACGTTTCCAAGTACACAAATGCGCCCATTTCGGTGGAGGTATGTCCAAGACTGAAATTGCTCGATCACAGGATATTGGAGTATCTTCAGTGTCAGTAGCTAATGCCAAGTTAGTTTCTACCGATTTACATTTCTCTGAGGGTTCACATTCCCTATCCTTACTAATATTCAGCATTGTCATTCGGGTGAGTGTGTAATGGTATCTCGTGGAGCTTTTAATCTTCATTTTCCTGATGATTAATGATGCTTTGCAGCTTTTCATATATATATATATTAGTATTTTGTTATTTTTTCCATATATTTTTCATATATATTAGTGAAATTTTTTTCATATATTTTTCATATATATATATTAGTATTTTGTTACTTTTTTTAAGATTTTATTTTTAAGTAATCTCTACACCCAACTTGGGGCTCCAGCTCACAACCCCAAGGTCAAGAGTTACATGCTTTACCGACTGAGCCAGCCAGGAGCCCCTATAACAGTTCTTTTGGCTTTCCTTTTTTTTTTTTAAGTTTTTATTTATTTTTGAAGGAGAGAGAGAGAGAGAGACAGAGCATGAGAGGGGGAGGAGCAGAGAGAGAGAGAGGGAGACACAGAATCCGAAGCAGGCTCCAGGCTCTGAGCTGTCAGCACAGAGCCTGACGCGGGGCTCGATCCCACGAACCGCGAGACCACGATCTGAGCCGAAGGCGGACGCTTTACCGACTGAGCCACCCAGGTGCCCCTGGCTTTCCTTTTTTTGTGATGTGCCAGTTCAAGTATTTTGCTCTTTTTCTATTAGGTTGTTTGTGTTTCCTCTTACCGATTTTTTTTTCATTTTAATTTTACGTCCTTATTATGACAAGTTCTTTAAATAATTTAGATACAATTTCCTTGCCAGTTATGCATCACCAAGAGTCATACATGAGGGGGTCCTACAAGATCTTTTCTTATCCTGCGCTTTACCTTTTCAATTTCTTATTGGGGTCTTTTGATAGGGAGAACATAGAGCATCATATTAATATGGTGACATATATTAAGCTTTTAGAAATATTTGTGTCTTGTTTAAGAGGACTTTCCCTACCCTAAGGTTATGAAGATAGTCTATGTTCTCTTCCAAAAGCTTTACTGCTTTTCCTCTCCCGTTAAGGTCTATGAATCACCTGGAATGTATTGATGTGTTTAGTGTAAGTTGGGAGGAATTTGATTGCATTATTTTTCCATGTGGACGCCCAATTCTCCCGGAATCATTTACTGAAACGTAGATTCTTTTCCCTGCTGCTCTGTTGTCCTACCTCTGTCTTGAATCACTTGTCCAAGTACGTGTGGGGCTGTATCTGGGCCCTTTATTCTGTTCCACTGGGATGCTGGTCTCTCCTGCACCTGTACCACACTATCTTAATTCCTACAGTTTACAGTTGATGATAAGAAGTTTTAATATCTGGTAGAGTAAGCCCTCCCACCTCTCATACCTAGGTATTTTTGAGGCCGGGATCGCTCATACACACAAATCCATTCAAACGTTTATGGAGCGTGCGGGAGGGGTGGGGAGGAGAGGCGCTCAGGGCAGCGAGCAGGGCAAGGATCCTCTGTTTCCATGGCACCCTCCCAAGGGGCGGCCACGTGCAGCCACAGTGCCAATCACCCTGTAGGGAGATCACAAATGCGTCATTGGGCCCCGTCGTCTCTCATCCCAGAGGGCCCCGCAGCTCTCAAAACCCAGATACAATTCGAAGCAGACAACACTCCAGGCGCGTCTCTTCCCTTCCATCCCGGAGGCACACCCTTTCCTGCAAATCCCGCGCGTCTGGCCGGCGCCCGAAACACCGATCCTGGACAGATTCGCCAACAGACGTGCTCAGTCCTGTTGGTTGAGGTTCTAACCGTCTGAGGAAGAAACACCCCATCCATATGGGGAGAAACCGCCGGCGGAGATCCTCTGACCCGCTGGCACGGCCTGATGAACAAACACGGACCACTTCACTGCCTGAGTAACAGACAACCAATCAGACCCGCTTCACTCTGTGACCGACTCCCAGGCGGACTGGCCCCAAACACACACCCTACTTCCCAGACCGTTACTGCTTCCCGCGTCCCTTGCCACCGCCCGGCATTTCATTCCAGGTTTACAAAGCAGTGATTGAGCGCACACTGCACATTAGCCGATAGGAAGAAGGATTCCCAGCAGCTTTGGCTGGGGGGGTGGGGGTGGGGTGTCCCCCTAGACCCACAGGCTGCCGCCCGAAGCAGGCTCCCAGGGTCCCTCGGGTTTCCCCGCCGTCCCCTCCAGGGTAAAGGCACATTCGGTCACCACCACCACCACCACCACCACTTTTCCGCCCGGACTCTCACGCATGCGCACTGCGACCCTCAGGCCGGCAGTGAAACGAGAGGGGGAGGGACCCTAAACCGCGATCCCCTAGGTCACGGGGGTAGCGACCCCGCCCGAGGTGGCCGCCGGCGCCAGCAGTCCTCAAAACAGAAATTGCAAAACCAAAAGGTTTGGTGAGGTCCCACCGAGATTTGAACTCGGATCGCTGGATTCAAAGTCCAGAGTGCTAACCATTACACCATGGGACCTGCTGGCTGCTTTAGGCGGCCGGGAGGCTTCTCAAGCCACATGGCGCGCGGAGCTGCCTGCCGAGAGGGACGGCGGGCGCCCGCTTCTCCCGGCCTGGGCCCTGGGCTCCGGGCCCGAGACCGCTCGGGCGGGCGGAAGCGGACCAGCAAGGGCGTCCGCGGCCCCCGACGTTGCGAGTCCCGCGGTGTCATCTCTTGCCGCCGCTCTTCCTGCTCTTCTGCTCTCCTCCGGGGGTCCTGACGTGCGCCCCCGGGAAGCCGGAAGAACGGCGGGCTGGGGGGGCGGAGAAGGCGGAGCGGGGCGGCCTCGGCCCCTGCCCCGAGCGGAAAGCCTGGCGAACGCTGCCTGGGCTCCGGGCTTGTTTATTTATTTATTTCCACGGGGCGCCCTCTGCCCGGGCCACGGTGGCCAAGCGGGGAGGGAAGCGGCCCGGCACGGGGCGGGACGGCGGTTCAAAGCCCGGGCGCGCACGCGAGCCCGGGGTTCCTACCGGAACTCGGGGGCGACGGCGGAACCCGGGATCAGGCGCTTCCGCGTCCTGCTCGGCGGGACTCCCGTGGGGGCGGCGGTGGTGTTTCCTTTCAACCTGTGGATCTGGGGTCCGCGGGAGGCAGACTCGCTCCTGGGCTTTTTCGCGTTAACTTTTTAATAGCCTTTTAGAACCTTCGGCTCAGCGGTTTCACTTCTGTTAACTTTATCCTTAAAGGACTACTTTAAGAGCGGTGCGGCGGAGTGTTCGGGGGTGTTCTCGGCTGTGATGTCGATCATGGGAAAGAGCAGAAAAGAAATGTCCGTCAGTTGAAAATCGGTTTAGTAGATATTGACAGTTTCTGTACGATGACTGCTGTGCAGGTATTGGGGGGGGTGCGTTTTTATTGCATTGACATCGTTTTGGTTTGTTGCATTATTTTGATTTGTTGTATTGACATGAAGAGAGCGACAGGCCTCAACAAACCCAACCGAAACAAAAATCTATTTACTAATTCGTGTGTAGAATGCCCACTTACACAGAAACAGAAAAGCTGTGTCCGTGTGTGTGTGACAGACATTTGCCGTTGACTGATTTGCCCTGTGTCATCTGACTGCCTGTCTTGAGGGATCCAGCCTTGTGTGGGTCTGGGTGATAGCACGGCTTTGCTCCAAGGCAGATACACTCGCTCTCCAGAGTGACAGTGAGTGTGTACTTAGCTTGCTGGACTTAGAATCCAAAGGGACGGATGCCCAGAAACGGGGACGTTTTAGAACTTGGCCTGCAGCTGGCAGTTGCTGTGACACCCAGTGCCTCGGGGTCAGTGGTAGCAGCCATGCCCACTGGCCCCAGAAGTGGCGCCCGAGACAGACAGCCCAGGGTCCTGACCTTGGGGCCGTTCCTGGTTGCCTAGTTCCCCTTGGTTCTTGTCCATTTTCCTGAGTTTGCTTCTCTGATGCCAGGAGCTATCTGACTTCCTTCCAGCTATGGTGAGATAAGGGTGTCTCTTTATTAGGCTGGAGTGACAACATCGAATTGACTAAATATCAAAGGACTTTGGCATCTCTGGTTTCCCATCTATTTCCTTCTGTGGCGGTGAACGTGTATTGAAATTAATTTTTCAAAAGCTACTATCGAAACCCTAAAGAGTTGCGATTATGCCCTTTGGAAGTGGACAGGAGATGGTTCCTTCTGTCCGGCGGGAGGACTTCACCCTCCTCCTATTCCCTACATCTTTACCGCTTCCCTCCACCTCCTCAGCTTGAAAATTTTTACCAGCCAGACACCCTCGCTGAAATCCCCACTCGTGAATTCGTCAAGTGGCAGAAAAGCATCATCTCCCTTACAGCTTGTGTCATTACTTGCTGGAATGATCGGTACTTGTGTTCTGTGGCTCAGTCTCTCCCATGTTCCCTCCCCCCCCCCTTCCCCTGGGTTGGACTGTGAACTCTTTGGGGGGCGGGGTCCAGGACTTGCTGGTTTTTAAATGTGGCTAGTGCCATACCAAACACGTTCACAGAACCCCCTCGGGAGGGCCCAGGAGAACTGGGGAGGAAGAAGCTACATTTCCTTTAACATCACATTTGTTCTTTTTGAGACACCAGAGAAAACAGAGACGATATGTAATCTCCCTGCCACAGCATAACTAGTTTCTTTTAACGTAAATGCATCATGCGTGACCCCCCCCCCCCCCCCCAAACACGGCATCTCGTGAAGGCTTGGAGAATAGACTCTCGGCTTCCACAAGGTGGCTCCTGGAGCTTGGGGAAGTCTGGGGCTCTGTGAGAGGTGGGGATAGCAAGGCTTCGGCTGGACGGAAGCAGAAGGGACCCCCGGAAAGTTTAATGAGGTCAGAGGTTAAGAAAAGACAGCTAACGTCCGGGATTAGAGACTTTTCAGATATTCTTCCAAGTTTCTCATGAGCCTATCAATGGCTAGCGAAGGTACAATAGCGTTTTGAGTAAGCGGGAAGCGTTCATGCTCATTGTCAAGTCTACGTCCGGTCAGTTTCCTTTATCCATGCTGACGCTGCTCCAGGTTAGCTGGGCTAGAGCCAGCCTTGCTCTGTGTCCTTGCGCCCAGGATAGGTGACATCTGCCACGAATCCCCTGCTTTGCCTCGGGAGCCCCAGCTATGTCAGACCAGCCGTTTAAGTGCCACCTCGTGCAAGGGTGACCCGTGATGCCCTGAGTCTCTGAGCCTCCTGCCCAGCCCCCTGCTCTGGGCCTCGCGTTCCTGAGGCTCTGATGGGGCAATCTGGCTGCTTACTTCCTGTGAACAAAGCAGCATCCACATTTTATCCTTTTCTCGAATGTTTTCACTTTCTCTTTTTAAAATAATTACCTCATCATTTCAGATGTTAAAGGTAAAGCATTTCTATAGGGCGCCTGGGTGGCTCCGTCGCTTAATCGTCTGACTCTTGGTTTTGGCTCAGGTCATGATCTCATGCTTTCGTGAGTTCGACCCCCATGTTGGACTCTGGGCTGATGGTGCGGAGCCTGCTTGGGATTTTCCCTCTCTCCTTCTCTCTCTGCCCCTCCCCCACTCACGCAGTCTCTGTCTCTGTCAAAATAAAGAAAGAAACTTAAAAAAAGAAAAGGTAGGGGTGCCTGGGTGGCTCAGTCAGTTAAGTGTCCGACTTTGGCTCAGGTCATCGTCGCATGGCTTGTGGGTTCGAGTCCCGCGTCGGGCTCTGTGCCGACATCTTGGAGCCTGGAGCCTGCTTCGGATCTGTGTCTCCCTCTCTCAACGTTCTCGCTCTCTCTCTCTCTCTCTCTCTCTCTCTCAAAAATAAACATTTAAAAACAATTCTTTTCATTCTAAAAAAGGTAAAGCATTTCTAATGGAAACTGTAGAAAAGGCCGTTAAAGTGGAAAGATTTTTAAATGTTTATGTATTTATTTTGAGAGAGAGAAGGCACACGGGTGCGAGCGGGGTAGGGGCAGAGAGGGAGAGAGAGAATCCCAAGCAAGATCCGTGCTGTCAGCGCAGAACCCAGCGCGGGGCTGGATCTCAAGAACTGTGAAATCCTGACCTGAGGCGGATTCGAAAGTTCGATGCTTAACCACCCGAGCCACCCAGGCGCCCCAAGTAGAAAGATTTATTTATTTATTTATTTATTTATTTATTTATTTATTTATTTATATTTAAATCCAAGTTAGTTAACATACAGAGTAATAACGATTTCAATATACTCTAGTTCCATCCACATTGTTGCAAATGGCAAGATTTCATTCTTTTTATGGCCGAATAATATTCCATTGTATATATACACCACATTTTCTTTCTTTTTTTTTTTTTTTTTTACATCTTCTTTATCCATTCATCCATCAATGGACATCTGGGCTCTTTCCATACTTTGGCCATTGTCGATAGCACTGCTGTAAACATGGGGGTGCATGTGTCCCTTCGAATCAGCACTCCTGTATCCTTTGGATAAATACCTCGCAGTGCGATTGCTGAGTCATAGGGTAGTTCTGTTGTTAACTTTTTGAGGAGCCTCCATACTGTTTTCCAGAGCGGCTGCCCCAGCTTGCATTCCCACCAACAATGCAAAAGAGATCCTCTTTCTCCGCATCCTCGACACCATCTGTTGTTGCCCGAGTTGTTCATGTGAGCCATTCTGACAGGTGCGAGGTGGTATCTCATTGTGGTTCCGATTGGTATTTTCCCTGATGATGAGTGATGTTGAACATCTTTTCATGTGTCTGTTAGTCATCTGGATGTCTTCTTTGGGAAAGTGTCTATTCATGTCTTTTGCCCATCTCTCCACTGGATTATTTGCTTTTTGAGTGTTGAGTTTGATAAATTCTTTATAGATCTTGGATACTAACCCTTGATCTGATATGTCAATTGCAAATATCTTCTCCCATTCTGCCTTTAGTTGCCTTCTAGTTTTGCTGATTGTTTCCTTCGCCGTGCAGAAGCTTTTTATCTTGATGAGGTCCCAATAGTTCATTTTTGCTTTTGTTTCCCTTGCCTCTGGAGACGTGCCAAGTAAGAAGTTGCTGCGGCCACGGTCAAAGAGGTTGTTGCCTGTTTTCTCCTCAAGGATGTTGATGGCTTCCTGCCTCCCATGTAGGTCTTTCAACCATTTTGAGTTTATTTTTGTGTGTGTTACAAGAAAGTGGTCCGGCTTCGTTCTTCTGCGTGTCGCCGTCCAGTTTCCCCAACACCATTTGTTGAAGAGACTGTCTTTTTTCCAGTGGATACTCTTTCCCGCTTTGTCAAAGATTAGTTGACCATACAACTGTGAGTCCATTTCTGGGTTCTCTATTCTTGTTCCATTGATCTGAGTATCTGTTTTTGTGTCGGTACCATACTGTCTTAATGATTACAGCTTTGTGATACAGCTTGAAGTCCGGAATTGTGATGCCTCCGGCTTTGGTTTTCTTTTTTATGATTGCTTTGGCTATTCGGGGTCTTTTCTGGTTCCATACACATTTTAGGATTGTTTGTTCTAGACTCTGTGAAGATTGCGGGTGTTATTTTGATAAGGACGGCGAAAGATTTGAAAATAATTACAATTCCAACAAGCACTTTTATTTATTTGTTTGTTTTTTATTTATTTTCTTTAGTAATCTCTCCATCCAATGTGGGGCTCAAACCCATAACCCCGGGATCAAGAGCCCCACACTCTTCCAGCTGAGCCAACAAGCACCTTTGACATTGGATTTTTTTTTCATTTCCTTTTTTAAAATGCATTTCTACATAATCTTCTCTGTACAATTTCATGTTCCGCTTTTGCACTTAACACAATAATGACAGGTTACCTAAAAACCTTGTTTCTTCTTTCCTTAAAAAGTTTAAAATATTTACATGGGTGATACACGAGCACAATATAAAATTCAAAAGTAAATGCACAGATAAAACTTCTTCACTATAATTTTCTGCTCTCAGAGGCAACTTCTGATACTCTTCTGGAGATATTTTATTTATTTATTTATTTTTACTTTTATTTATTTTTGAGAGACAGACAGACAGAGCACAAGTGGGGAGGGGGCAGAGAGAGAGGGAGACACAGAATCCGAAGCAG